ACAAACCAACCTACAAATATGCCTAACCCAGACCAAATAGACCAACAGACTACACTTACAACTGACCCAGAACACCAACAACCCATCCAAACAGACCCTGATCAGACATTACACACAGACCAACCAGTTACACCACTTAGGAGAAGTACAAGAAATTCAAGACCACCAGCTTGGATGATAGATTATGTAACCAATTGTTCAAATTCCAATCACAAACCTTTTTCACCCAATTCACCCTATTCACATGCATATGTATCTTTTGCATCTAATGTCAACAAAATTCATGAACCAATATCATATCATCATGCTATTTCTAATGAAAATTGGGTGCAAGCAATGCAAAATCACAAACCTTTTTTCACCCGAGAGTTCACCCTATTTGCACATGGCATATGTATCTTTTGCATTCCAATGTCAACAAAATTCCAAGGAACCAATATTTCAATTACTCATCATGCTTATTTCTATAATGAAAAATTGGGTGCAAGCAATGCAAACACTGAACCTGCAGGCTTTGGAAGAATAATCGGCTACATGGTCTTAACTGCAGTTGCCTAACAAGGGAAACGTCGGCCATATTGACTTGCAAATGCCGTCTACAGGGTCAAATACATAACAGGATTGGAACTGTAGACAGATATATAAAGCTTGTCCTGCAGTCGCTTATAAGGTTTCTTCAACCAAAAAAACTAGGGCACCTTGGGATATTCTACAATGACAATTTTTTTCTCCTGTCGATCTAATAATCGAGTTGACTTCGAGAATCTTATGAGCCCTAGAGTCTACTCACCAATATCAATGGAGATCTTCACCAAACTCGAATAGTTCAACAATGCCTATCTACATCTGCGCTTTTCTGATGAAGACCATCGTACCATGCAATCCACCCAGCTGGATATTCTTTTTAAAGCTGTCTTAACGGCCAAGTATAGCCAACGAACTGAACTAAAATCACTTTACGGACTCAAAACAAGCTGGCACGAATGTGGTGAACCAAGAGTTGACAACAAATACTATTACTTCCAGTATTGGATTTCAACAATCACATGAATGATCCACTGACCCTATTTACCAAAGGAGAGGGGCACCTGAGGACAATGAATTGCTAGCACTTATTTCTACGTGGATGATGATTTTAGTTGCGACTATGACCTGACATTCAACTTATATGCAAACACTCAAAGAATATCTCCACTTCCAATTTACGAATAAAAGACTCGGCCAGTTGCACAAGCATTATTTTCTGGGATGACATCCCTATCAATACCACTTGATTGCACTCATACTTATCAACCAACGAAAAAGTTCATTTCAAAGATCATGCTGTCTTAGATCACACAAATGCCAGCACCACGCCAAAACATTGCTCCACACCAATTAACATACAAGGTCTCAAAAAATTCAAGCAGCATACATGGGACCATTACTCCACAGACACCATACTCAGTTACTACCCGTCCGACTAGTGGGGGCAGGATCACTTTACCCGTGAGCATTACCAGACCTGGACATTACTTACTCAGCTTTCAACAATCCTTACCTCAAACAACTACATGCAACATCCCTGTCTTAAGTCACATGGTAGCTGCTTTCTCATGTTCCTACGCTACTGTAGCCTCCACCACAGGCATCTGAAAATTATTTTTCCTACCTCTTCTACGCTTGATCTCCAACGCATACTTGTGATGCTGATTGGGGGGCTTCTGCTATTCGAACTCGCGGTCCCTAACACAGGTTACTGTGTTCGAGACTCGCCGGTCCCTTACAGGTTACTGTGTTTTTCTGGGTTCCTTGCTCATCTCATGGAAAACAAAAAAACAAACAGTGGTTAGTCGTTCCTCTGCTGAAGCAGAATACAGATATATGGCCAATACAGTGTGCGAAATCATTTGGATTGACAAGATACTCACAGATCTACGAGCGAAAGTGAAAAAGCCCATACCTTTATTCTGCGACAACCAAGTGGCGATGCATATCACCGCCAACCCAGTTTATCACGAGCACACCAAGCATACTGATATCGACTGCCATCTTACCGCCATCACATTCAATCTGGTCTTATTGACACAAAACATCTCCCTTTGGCATCCCAACTTGCTGATATTTTCACCAAAATGTTAGCCATCTCCCACTTTCATCTCATGACTGTCAAGTTGGGCTTGGTTTCATTACCACAGCTCCAACTTGAGGGGGGCGTGAACGAACATGAGCCAAACACAAAGCCAAGCACAAAGAAAACCCTAAAACTCAAAAATAAAGAAGTTGCCGTTCTAAACCAAAGAAAACCCTAAAACCCAAACACAACATTTTCTATTTATACCAAACCCACATACCATACCCATTTTACTTAACCCAAACCCATATAATAAACCCAACCAAGCCATTAACCCATATAACAAACCCATATTACAGCTGTAATTCTGTTACATGAGGAAATGTATCTGTTACATGAGGAATACATGAGGAAATGTACAATACAGTAGGCCCTAGAATTAGAATATACTACACACTTGTAAATATAAATAGAACACAATGTATAGCTTTCAGATCAGAGAAGAAATATACAAATTCTTCATCTATTTTTGCTTTTCTGCTTTTCTGTTCAGATACCTATACTCGTACTCTTCTCGTATCTGTTACGGATAATAATTTTACTATTTATACTCATTCCAAACTCATTTATGACTATCTGTACCCATTAATGGACTCAACCCAAACAGTTAGGAGACCAAAATGATTTTATTAATTATAGGAGTAAAATTAATTTTTTTTTTCAAAAATTTTCACTCTAAAAATTTTAAAAAGTTTTTAACTTGGAGGGGCCCCTGGGTCCGTCCTGTATGTACTATCATTAAATGGATTGGAACGGGATTGATACTTCAAAATATCCATCCTGCTTCTATCCATAATCATAATAAGTCCTTTATAAATTTTAGGTGACAAAATGGTTAAAGTACAGAAGTTTCGGAGTGAAATTATCAATTTCGCCAAAAAATAAAACTAGAGAAAAAGATGACCATGAATGACCATCGTATCATAGTACATCAAGATCGGAGAAGACCATCATCTCACAAGACAATATCTCTCCTCCTCTATTTGTATAAAATTAGGCAAAATGCATAAACTTTAACCTTGAATTTTACGCAATTTTCCTTGTCATTTTTAAATTTTACGGTTATTCAATCATAACTTTGCACTTTCACATTTCAATAATAAATATTGAATCTTACATTTTTTTTATATTTTATTTTGATAAGAGACATAATTATTACTGAAATATAAAAGTGCAGGATTACGATGAATCTCTTATAAAATTCAAGAAACAACAAACATAACCATCAAAACCACAAGGACAAATTTATGCATTAGCCTGTAAAATTATAAAAACCTTTCATTTCAGGTCTCGATTAGTTTTGTTATGCATTAGTGTATAATAAAATGAAAATTATTTGCCTAGATTGGGTTCACAGCCACGTTTATGGACCAAACTAATGACAGTAAAAATTCTTTAAAAAGTATTTCGATTTTATCTTTTTTTTTTTCAATATATAGTCAGAAATACCCTCGTTTCAATAAGAAACCTTATTCTAATTGATTTGGTCCATGAATGGTGCCATAGATCTGTCTACGTAAAATTTTTCCTAATAAAATTATAAAAATACTGGTTATGTACCCGCGCGATGCACGGATTATTTACTTTTGATTAAATGATGGAAGGTAAAATTATAGGTTCCTTTTTAAGTTCTCAAATATTAAACTGAAATATTAATTAGCACAATTAATTATTATAAGCAAAATATTGTTATTGAATTGATATATTTTGTTTTTTTTTCTCTTTGAAATTCTTATATATTCAAATTAAATAAAATACAAGAATATTTAATTTTAATTAAATAAATTTTAATAAATTGAAATTTTCAAATTTAAATAAATAACAAGAATATTTTAATTTTAATTTTAAATAAATTTAATAAATTTGAAATTAATATTTTAATTCTATTTTTTTAATCTAAATTATATTATTTTAATTAATTTTTTATTACCATGAATCTATTATAATTCCATTAGTGTTTTTTTTAATAGGTAAAAAACTATTTTATAAAACTTCCATATTTATTATATATTAATTATAATAAAATTTATTAAGTTATTGTAACTCTCATTATTTAACAAGAAATTTTAAATATAAACTATTTAATAAAAAACTTCATATTTATTATATATTAATTATAATAAAATCTTATTAGTTTATTGTAACTCCATTATTTAACAAAGAATATTTAAATATAAAAGATATTAATTATAATGAACAAATAAAATGTCATGTCATCACTTTCATATTCTAACATCACTTTCGTATTCTAATATATTGCCTTATAAATATTTAGGCCTTAGAAATTATATATTTATATAGATAAAATATAGAATTAATTTTTATCAATTATGGCTATATTATAACTCCATTATTTTTTTATATAATAAAAATTATTAATAAAAATTTAAAATTTATTATATATTAATTATAATGAAATCCTTTAGTAGATTTGTTAATTTGTAACTCTATTATTTAATAAAAAAATTAATTTTTATTAAATAAAAAGATTGATTATAAATAAAATAAAATAAAAATGCCACGTGCTCATTTCTATATTCTAACATATTGACACGTACGGATTTATCCTTTAGAAATTATTCATTTATACAGATTTCACTCTCACTTCTCCATTGGTTTTGGCTCACAGACAAAGACTTGTTTTTGGTCTCGTCTGGTGACTCTCTTCTGTACACGTAGGGATAATAAGTCAAAGCCTACCCACTTAAAGGAACCTTCTCAAGAAAAGGACAACCTAAATTAAATTGAAAAATGACAGAGAAGTGTGACTTGTGGTGAACCGCGACACGTATGCAAAATCAAAAATATCTTTTATACATTCAATCCAACACGCTCATGCATAAGTGGAAATAAACAGATCGAAAGTCACTGTCTGTATGTGTCTCTCTTGACAAAAATGATTTCATACCCAGCTCCGAACTAACCACAGTGACATATAGAGATTGATGGATGTCAACTCATAATAACAAATCAATTTACACAGTAAGGAACAAATTAGGGAAAATGGATGCCAAAGAAAATATTAATATTCAATTTACAACCTATAATAATACAACAAAAACAACTTGTTCTCTCTGCTTCCTATCTTCACATTCTCCAGAACTGTTCTTGTTTTATCTCATGGGAAGTGAGCCTTAAGTGCAAGTCGCTCTTGAAGTTTTAACCGATAATTTTACCAAACCACACGATTTCGACAAGTGAAAAAACAACCAAGACTACAACTATATATTTATAATTTAGCACCAATGCGAAATAGAGCCAAAACCTAAAAGCAAGTCTAACAACACTAAACACTAAGCTACAACTTATTATGATTATTATTAGTATTAGTAGTATTTCATTTAATTAATTACATAAAAAAGGGGTAAAATATAATTAAATCCTTAAATTATATTCAAATTAACACTTAAATCGTTCTATATTTGAGAAATCACTATAACATGCATAACTTATCCTTTATCTCACTATTGAATACTTTTATCCAAAAAATGAGCTCTTTTCGTCTAAAGATTAACTTATTTTATTCAAAAGTGTGTTTAATAAACGATAAAGATTTCGTTTTTTGAATAAAATGACCAACCAGTGAGATAAAAAGTATAAGTTAAGAACGTCGTAATTATTTTTTAAATAGAAGAATTCAAGTGTTAACTTAATGTAATTTTGGGGTTCGATTATATTTTAACCTATATAAAAGTAATTCAAACCCATCTCCTGGTAACTTTGACCTTTAATCCATGTTTCATGTGGAGAATGATGGATACATTAGGAGACACAGGGTGGTCTTCTACTACCTTGACATGGTAATTATGGATTATGGAAGCTGCAACTATCTTCATTTGAGTAAAGGCCACTTCTTTACCCAAACAAGTTCTTGGACCTGCATTAAAAGCCAAGAATTTGTAAGATGGCTCATGCTTAATTTTTCCTCCTTCAGTAATCCACCTTTCTGGCTTAAACTCTAAGCAATCTTCACCCCATATAGAAGCCATCCTTCCCATTGCATAGGAGCAAATCACTATCTTCATTTCTGGATTCACTTCGTGCCCACTTGGAAGCACATCTTTTTGCAATGGGGATTTGTGTTGAAATGGAACTGGTGGGTATAGCCTTAATGTCTCGCACAAAGCTGCATGTAAATAAACAAGACTATTTACCTCTTGTACATTTAATGCACACCAAGTGTTGGCTTTTTTGCCTTGTAGAGTAATTTCCTGAATCTCTTGTCTTATTTTGCTCTCTGCTCGTGGATTCTTGGAAATAAGCCAAAAGAACCAAGTAAGAGCAGAACTAGTTGTATCTCTACCTGCAAGCAACAGATTTATAATGGTGTCTCTTAAAAACTTTTCGTCTGGTTTAGATTCCAAGATTTTCTCACCTTCATTCATATATGATGTTAACATATCCACCCCCTCTCCCTTATTATTCTTGACTAATTGTTCTCTTTTTCTTGATATATATTTTCTTGATGTATCATCAAGAACTTTCTCTGCTTTTGCCATTTTCTTTTCTTGTCCAATCCCTAGCCACCTTTGAAACTTCCAAATGAATTCTGGTATTATATGTCTATAAAACAAAGCTTCCTCAGCATCATCCAATGCCTTTGAAAATTCTATTTTTGGAAATTCAGTAGATAGGCTTCTTGGATTATAACCGGTCACTAATTCACATGTAATGTCAAATGTGAATCTTTGAAACAGATCTTGTAAGTCCACTACTGAATCTTGATCACTTGCATGTTCAATAACCGGAACTAGGCCTTTCTCCACCATCTCCTGACAAGCCTCGATCAAGAAATTATGAAAACACCCACGATTAATCAACGTTTGAACTAGTTTTCTTTGGGTTTTCCAAGAATGTGAATCGGCATTGAAAATCCCGTCTCCAAGAATGTCAAAAATCTTGGAGAACTCAGATCCTTTGGGGAAATTTGAGAAATTTGAGCTCATTACGTAGTGGACATTGGTTGGGTCTACTGTTATTAAGATCTTGACATTAGAAAACCAAGGGCCTTTATAGAAGAAGGTGAGACCAGCTCTTTCTATTTTTTCTGTCAGCCACTCGTAAAGTCGGTGAAGGTGGTAGAGAGTCTCCGGTAGCATACCAAAGATCGGCCAGTTTATTGGTAGCCCATTTTTGTTGAAAAAGCAACGAAGAATGACATAGCTAGCGATAGCCATGAAGATCTCAAGAAGGGTTAGTGATGCCATTTTGGAGTTTGTTGCTGCTTTGAGTTGCAACTAGAGTTTATTATAGAGAAATAGTTACCTGTAACCGGAGAAAGTCATTGATGGCTTTACGTGTCAAACCAATTAAATTAAAAAATTTTTAAAAAGTATTTTAATTTTATTTTATTTTTTTAATATATCATCAGAAATACCATAATTTTAATAAAAAATGTTAATTTTATTGATTTATTTCATATATGAATTATGGATTTAATCTAGATAAAATTTTCATCTTACGACTAAATATGTAATTGGAAATTTCTATTATGTTTTGTCGGGAAATGAAAAAGGAAGTTTTTTTTCACTAAATAATAATAATAAAAATAATAATTCATAATTTTGTCAAATCACTATTAACTATTGAGAGTACAAAAATAGATATATAATTAATATGGAACTATTAATAAATATATAGAGTTAGAATACAAAATTAGATACTTCCTACATTTTTTATATACCCTTAATTTGCATTAATTGCTCAATTAATTATGATGGAGCCAATCTAGAAAGAGAGAGTCCCAATGGCACACTTATTCAACAATTAATACTTGAAAATATTTAAGGAAATTCCGCAATTGTTTTGAGGATTCAAAATTTTTCAAATTTGATTTTCCCTCATTTATATCAAGTATCGAGCAATTTCAATAATATGCATCTAAATTTAATGAAAATTTAGAGCCAAAACTTTTCGTTACTACAATAGTCTTCTACAAATTCTACAACGTAGTTACATATAAATTTCTATCAGACATAGAATATGTTACTGCATTCATAGAGTTTTATAAAATAAAGGTAATAATTTTTCATAACTTATAAATCCATTATTTTTTATCTCAATGACATTCGAATTGATTCAAGCACATATTCTGAAGATACGTCCACTACTTTTGATCTTTCAGACTTGAACTACTTACTTGATGATCAAAAAGGAGTTATCGAAAACATAAGACTGGTAGACAGATATAACAAAATGAGACACATCTATAAATAAAGCATATTTAAACGACTTATACTCCTACAGTCGAAAAAGATTTTTGTCCAATATTTTTTTAATATGAGCACATTCGTTAATTCTTCAATAGTTTACAAGTCTGTGATAAAATAATTTTTCACTTTTGCTTTGGAAACACAAGGGTATTAAATGTCGAACCTTTTCTTTGTCCGCCACTTCCTCTTGCTAACCGTGTACAATTAACACAGAGACTTAAATTAAATTAGCATTTTAGACTTTGAACAATTGTATCTTTTCCAAAGTTTTAATTTCAAGTTAATTTCTCTATATAAAAAAAAACGTCTTAAATAGAAATTTTCTCTAAATAAAGAGAATATAAGGATTATATAATTAATTCATACTTTTTTTTTTTTAAACATGAGTTACATATTTGAGATACGTAAATTAACATATTGTTTTAAAATTACTATATGTTGCTTTTAATTAAAAAAGAATGTATGATATTTTAACCTTAATTAATACATATGTTTCTTTTATTAAAAAGGAAAAACAAAAAGTAGATAAGCATCATATTCTCAAAAAGAAAAAAAAAAAAACCAAAAACAAAAACGAAAAGATAATTATCTTGTTTATTTATGGTCCTACATCTGTAGGGGGTGTCCCTTTCGAATCAGTGTATGGAGTACACAACTTTTGTCCAAAAATAAATGTAGCGTGCAAGGTGGCCCTATGTAACCTTTCTTTTTGAGATCGCATTTTGGTGCTTACTTCCCAGATAACGAATTTTATTATCCATATATATCAAATATGATAATATTAATTGATTTTATCGTTAGAACCGATGATTTTAAAATCAAAATCAATAATCTAAAATCATAATTATACTTTATATATATTCAATATAAAGTTTTATAAAAATTTAAAATCCATATAAAATTTCAATACATAATCATTGAATTTAATACCCTTAGTGAAATTTAAGATACTTTAGAATAATAAAAAAATTAAATAATAAGTATCTACATTGAGAAAGCAACACATGCAATGAATATTTTTAAATATTAGTATATATCTATCTATACTAATATTTATAATTTTATCAATATCATATTCATCATATTTTAATAATTAATTCCGCAGAAAAAATATAAATAAATTAATAAAAAATTAATAATTAAATACAAATATTTACTACTTTTTACTTTTCTTCCATGTTTATATATTTTTCTTTTACAAATTTGAATAAAAATATTTGCAAATTCAAAAATCGAAGAAAAGATTCATAAGAATTTACTAAAATTAATTTTATTATAAAATAAGAAAATATTCACCCTATATTTATTCTATTTTATTTTTCAGTGGTTATTGTAGTGTTACTCCAAAAAAAATTAATTTTGTAATTAATTTATTACATAGATGCCAATTAAATTTAAAAAACTAAGCTAATAATTAATTAATTTAAAATCCTAAAACAGTATTAGAAAATTAATTAAGTACCAAGTACCAATCACTTTGAATACAAAGTTTCAAATTAATAATAATGAATAATGAATACTAATAACTCAAATTAATTTTTTAGTTAAAAACAAGTATTAGAATTAAGTTAAGTACCAAGTACCATCACTTTGAATACAAAGTTTTCAAAATTAATATAATGAACTAATGAATACTAATAACTCAAATTAATTTTTTAGTGTAGTATATATAATATATAATATATATTATATATAATATAATATAATTATATATTTATATATATTTTTTTTTTTTTGAGAATGTTCGGTTAGTGTATATTAATGTATGCTTCAATTGTAATATAATATATATTTCAACTATACTACTCAAATTAATCCTTACGTTTTTAATATAATGTATATAATATGGTTTCTTATATATTTTTTAATATAACCTATATGATATGGTGTGTTTTTTTATATTTTTTTTGTTTAACATGTTTAATTGAATAGTATTTGAATTCAAATAAAAATTAATATTATCGATCTAATTAAAAATTATTTTATAATTTTAAGAGTTTTTAATTGGAATAGAACTAAATTATTTTTAATAGTATTTTTAATCAACCAATAAAATATTAATAAAATTTAAAATTTTCTAATTATAATAAGATTAAACCATCCTTAATGATATGTTTAATTAATCATTAAAATTAAAACTACATAGGGACATTTTAGGAACCTAATGTTCCCCCCATTCGTACTTTTATACATACTAATCTATTTTATGATGCGCGTTATACGTTGATAATGCTATTATATTCTCATTTTTTTTACTCTTTTAATTTTTTATGTATACAATATTAAAAAATAAGTTTTTGTTTAGATTAAAATAAATAAAATTGATTAATTTGTATTAGATTTTGCCGTATAAACTACTTGTAATGCTCTTTCTTATGTACTTGATTTTATTTTTATATAATAAAGTGGTTTCAAAATAAAGTTCAATCCAATTTTATACCTAATCTTTTGGTCCCTAATTTATAAATGCATATTTCAAAACCCTGAGTGTGCTCAAAAAGAAAATGAAGTTATCACTCAATCTCAACCTCTTGCCCTCAATCCCAAATCAATATATATATATATATATATATATATAATATATAATATTATATATATATATTAATTAAAAATAATAATAAATTATTTAAATAATAATAAATTATTTTTTACTGGTAAATAAAAGAAAAATGATCTAAATTAATAATGTTAATCATTTTGGCTATAGTGATAGTATTACTTGCCTAGTGTATTAGAGAAAGGAATATATAAACATATAAATACAAAACTCAAAAAATAACCCAAAAGAGAAATATATAGTTCTAATTTTTTCAATTTCATAAACATTATTTTCTTTCAAGTAAAACAGATTTAGGATATAAAAGAAAAAATATCACAAAAAATTAAAAAATACTTATTCAGGAGGCCATCTATTTATTGTAAGGGAGATGTAAATCTCTTACTAAATTAAAGTGATAGTTATTACAAATTAATTCAATAACTAAAAAGAAAATAAAAAAATAAATTTTTTTTATTAAGAATAAAACTATTTTAAGAACTCAACATATAACAAAGAATAAATTATAGTAGAATAATTACCAATTTGAATTTAAAAATAACAAAAGACTATAATTTAATTAAATTTGACGTTGATGGGCATAAAAAAAAAAAACAGTCAAGTCATTACATTAAAATTACAAAGCAAATCTGAAACACCCTTAATTTTTATTTTCGAAACTTTTGAATTTTTATTAAATCAAAAATTTGAATTGTCGACTGTCTGGACTACAAATACTGTTTAATTCTAATTCGAGCCCAAGTTTACGGAGTTGGGGTCAAGCCTAAATCATATTATTAAATATTTGTCGAGTAGAGAACCTTTAGAAATTTTTAAGAGTAACTATGGAGCATTAATTATTAATTTATTAAAAATGTATATGTAAAAATGGTAATTGTATATGTTGTTGTGAATTACCTTAATAAATAAATTTATTATTCTAAAAAATCTAATTATTATTCTTATTATTCTTATTTAAAATTGAGGAAATGTTCTAGAACCTAACTAAAGAATCAAAATAAATCAAATCGGATGAGAAAACCAAGCAAATCGAGCCGAATCATTGAATTAGACCAAACCAGTTCGAATCGAACCGAAATGGTCTAGAAGCTCCAAGATTTTTTTCTTTTCTTTTCTTTCTTTCTTTCCTTTTTTTTCTGGTTTTTTTTTCTCCTTTTCTTCTCTCCTTCGGAGCGCCAGCGCCAGTGCGCGACCCCTCCTCCTCCTTCCCTCCCCATTCGAGCCACCGGAGCCGATCAAGTTAGCCTCCTCGCCGCAGCGGATTCCGGCATCCCTTCTCTCCTTTCTTTGGTTTCTGGCGTACGCAGATGGCGCAGGAGAGCAGGGACATCCTTCGATCGGAAAGTCGCGTCGAGCCTCCTGCTCCTTGATTTTCCGACGACACCAACCTCTCTCTATCGAAGACGAAGCTTGGGTCTCCCTTTTTGCTCCCTCCTTTCCCGTTCCGGCTGACACAGCAAGCTAGCGGAGCTGCGATCGTGGTTTGCGATCTGTACAG